AATGCCTTGATGGTAATTTTTAGCCAACTATATAACTGGGATTTTTCATTTTTTAAAAAATTATTTCTGTATTTTTCTGGACTTCCCAGTGGCCAGTCATAAAAGCAAATAACATAACTACCACAAATAGGAAGCATCTTAATGCAGAACTACTTCAAGTTTATATTTTCAACAAGATTTCCCATAAATTTGTTTTTTTTGGGTAATGAACAACTGATTGAGTGGAATACCACTGTACTTGAGACCAGAATTAGGGTAGAAGATTTTCCAGTATTTAAATGTTGAAAAGGCCAATGGCAGACCCTGTGAGGTGTCATCTGATTCCTTGCAAAGAAACACTTTGTTACTCCAGTTTTGATGGTGTCTGCAGTTCAGCCCCCTCATGGATTGCTTCTCCCAACTAAGTCCTTCCTGTGGCTATCTCCAGTGACCAATGGATGTGGCACTCTAAAGGCCTGACCATTGGAGGCCAATAGAGGATGTATTTAGAGGGTAGTTCAAGCTCCAGAGTCTGTATGGGGTATCTGAATCAGGTGCAGACTTACTTTACAGTTTGACTTCTCTCCCTGCCTACTAGTTTCTGTCACTTCATTTCCATAAGTGATGAACTGACATTTCTGCCGAATGATAATTCTTCACGTTAGACTCCATCTCAGAGGTTGTTTCTCAGGGTACCCAATGATGATGGTCTTCAAATATTCCTCAAGTGAAGATGGAATCTATCATCCATCCACCAATCTGTCTATCCATTTCTTTACACTATTGTTTTATTAAGCCATCCTCCCAGCAATTCAGAAGATTCATTATTATTCTTTTCAATAACATTTCTTCAGGTTATAACACACATCCTATTCACTAGATAGCCATTCCTTATGTTTAACTAACTTCCCAAAGTTTTATATTAAATGTGCAATGTTTAGGCATATTAGCGCATTTTGTGATGAAAATCTCAAAGTGCATCTGTTACTGAATTTGATGAAAATATTAGCATTGATTTCACCAAATTATCTGCAGAGGGCAGCAAAGAATAATCTTAATGTAAATAGATGATAAGTGACTAACCACAAGTTTTGTTTATTGGAACAAAAGAGACAACTATGAACTCAGTGTGTCCAATTGGAAAAAAAAAATTGAGGGAATGGATTAATAGATCTATTTATGGAAGAAGAAAATCAGCGACAAGACAGAGAATTAAAAGGCAGGGTGTTAAAGAAAGTATAATTAGCCATACAGTTAAGAAATAGATTTTGCTGTGACATTTCTTGGACTTGAGTCCTATCTCCATCACTTATCATCTGTACTTATCATCTGGTAAAATCTACTTAATTTTTATTGCTTTAATTTCTTAAACTGCAAAACGGGGATAATAATATCTGCTATATAGGGTTGTTGAAAGTACTAAATGAGGCAATATTTTAAATCATTTAAAACAAGGCCTGTGTGTTCAGTTTAAGCCAAACATTTACTCTGAATATGACCAGTGAAATCTAAAATTCATACTAGGCATGAAACAAAATATGCTTACTAATTTCTCTGTTGGGTGTAGCGAATATCTGCTCCTAAACTTTCCTTTTTGTATAGTCTATAAAATCATAATGAAAAAAATAATCTGTAGCTTTCAGGTGGCTATATATTTTTTCTAAATTTCTAAGGATAATTTTTGTGTAGTAAAAATTTCAAGATAAATATCAGTACAACAGTAGAGTGTAAAAATAGATATGTGCATTTTGTGAGGTTCTTTTAAGTTACCAATCAACATTGTGCATGGAGGAAGATCYAGAACTTCAGACAATTTTTGAGAACTTGGGTTGGTAAAAATTGCAGAGGTGAACTGGAAAATAGAAAATGGATATGTCTAGGAGTGCAGTGATTTGATTTTACAGTGTTCTGCAGTAATGGTTAGATTCGGATCTCTAATTGTGCCACAGGGGCAGGGAGGAAATAAAGAGTGAAATGTTGTGGAGTTTGGGTTTCTTGAAATTCTTCATACCATTAGGCATTGTTCTTTTACCTCTATGAAATTTCTAAGTTAGACTTGGCTAGTGGTAGCACAGGGTAGATTGAAGGAAATGGGACTAAGTGATTAGCTGGTGTGTTTGTGTATGTGTATGGAAGGGTACATCAGACCAGATAGCTGAACTAGAGAGCTTGCCGAAAGTAAAGATGTTAAAGAAGCAGGTACTGGACTATTTTTGCAAGGATACATATCCAGAAAATTCAGCTATGTGCCTGGGAGCAGGCAGATAATGAAATTCCAGGTGGTCAATACTCAAATAGAAGGTGAATGATTAGGCAGTGATCCTGCAGAATAAAGAGCCCAAGGAACAAAGGGTCAGGAATAAAAGGCCCAAAGAGACTGCAGTAAATATAAAAGCTCTGTGTTCAGTTTGTTCATAATGGGAGGAGTCCCCGGGCAAGACTGCAGTGTCCTACCTTAAATGATGGTGGCTAAGTCTGAATCTGACTTGGAGACAGAGAAGTACACCTGATCAGAAGAAATTTACTTCAATAGCATTTGTAGGCAGATGAACCAATTTTGAGTTAATCAGGCAGTGAAAGTTTGGGGACATTGTAACTTAATTGAGCTCTAAAACTTACTAAATCTTTTTTATTTTAGCTGCCACAAAAATTAATTGGCATCACATCATTTTTTTTCCCCTTCTCACTTACCCTGATTCTTAGTAGGTATTATTGAAGAAAAGACTGGTAGAATAAAAGGTTGGAGTTTCTGGCTTGACCAAAACTTTTCTCTTGCTCTTCTGCTGTTTTCTGGGTCTCTGTGCCCACGGGGCATAGCCAAGAAGAATTTGGGGTCTTTAGATTTTTTCAGAAAAATACATTTACCAGACACACATATCTTTCTCTTATTATACTGAGTTTTGGGGCATACTTTAGGTGGATAATTTTGCTAACTAATCCTTGGTCCCTTTATTATTTTGAACACTTGCTCTCTGTACAAAGTAAAGGTAGGGGTTTGAAGGTGGAAGAGATAGGAAATAGAAAGAAAAACAGTCTCATTCTGCCAAATCAACTTGGTGAATCTGTCGTTTTTGATACCACTCAGTTGACTCCTGAACTGCTGATAGCAGGCTGTAGTCTGGTCTCAGATGACCACATGGGAGTGTGCCTCTCGGACTAGCAAACGTGAAATATTTCACTCTCAACTGTGTTACCAAATCACTTTGAGACTTCAGGCAGAAGATCATTTAGCCCTTCTGTGGTGAGTTTTGGTTGTGTCATTGAGCAAACATTAAAATAAATGATCATCAAGAATTTTTTATGACTTACGAAAAAGTTCCTGTCAATTTAATATTAAGTGGAAAAAAAAGGCTATAGACTTGATTAAGAAATGTGCCTCATGACATTGGACTATTAATTGCATGGCAGAGACAACTCTAGGTCTGTCTGTTATCAGAATCCATGGTCTGATCTGCTATATGTGGTGGAAATCAAGAGTGTTTTATTTTAAATGACATTTTCTCACTTATTTTTCTGACACCTGGTTAAACATTGGACAGAGGAGAAGATTGCTATAGTCCACTCATTGTCATAACTCATTCTCTCAGTCTTCCATGCCGTTAGAGACCTTGTTTTACTGTCTGAGCCAAATCAATTCACTGGGAAGAAAGCCAGAGAAGGGGGAGGGGAAAATATATATAGTTTAATGTTTGGAAAGAGGGAAGATGGAATTGCTAACTTAGAAAAAAAATGCATCGTGTTTAATCTTTTTCCTGTTTGCAATGTTTTCTTCCCCTTCCTGGAGGGTTTTGCCATGGGTTAGGAAATTCTTAACACAAAGAAGATTTTTTTTTTCTCTCTTAGATGTATCTAAATGCAGACTAACTGGCAACATTAGGCAGAGTTTTCATGGAAAGTTGGAATTCCAGATGGGTGTCAACTAAAAGATGAGTGTTTATTAATTTTGTTAAAATGACAGTGTAACTCTTCTGTAATTGCCAATGAGTACTGAACTGTGACATAAAATGATGCTCCCCTGGTGTCTACTTCATGAAAATATGTCACTTAATAGGGTAAAATGGACTTCGCAGATGTGATTAAGGATTGTGAGACAGAGAGATTATCCTGAATTATCTGATGGATTCAATACAATCACGAAGGGTCTTTATAAGAGGGAGGCAAGGGAGTCATGATCAGAGAAGGAGATGTGACAGTGAAGGAAAGGTTAGAATGATGTGGCCACAAGCCAAAGAATGCAGACATCCTTTAGTAGCTGGAAAGGACATGGAAGAGGTTCTCTCCATAAGCCTCCAGAAAAGCTGTAGCTCTGCTCACGCCTTGGTTTTAGTCCTTCCTATAAGACTCATTCCAAACTTCTGACATCCTACCTGGTAAGATACTAAGTTTGCATTGTGTTAAGCCACTAAGTTTGTGGTTATTTGTTAGACTAACAATGGAAAACAGACACTTCCAGACTTGTATGCAGATTTCCTTCCTACACAGCAATTTTATCCAGGATTTTTCAAGCAGAAATATTTCTTCCAGATCTGAATACTAAGGCTGTACACTTCAACCTGGAGAAAGCTTCTAAAAGGTATCATGACTGGGAAATGTATAGCCATGAACCCCAAACAGAGAAATATCCTGTCTTACTTTTTAATGTAAGTTTAGACAAATCCGTTTTTCTTGGGCATGTTCAATGTCTTACTGTAAAGTTTATCTGTGAGCAGCAGAAGTGAGAGGGGAACCAATGAGCTGAAAGATAACTCAATCAATCTGCTTCCTCTGTCTTTGCTTCAGCGCCTTGTACAGGAAATCTAATGCTGTGTCAAGTTCCAGAGAAGAGTTTCTTCTCTTCCAAGTTACTAATCAGGCTAAAACACATCCAGTAGGGGAAAGGGCTTGGAGGAAAGAAGTCCCCTGCTGCTGCTGGACTAAGAGGAACCAGCACCAAGAAGTCGACCGGAGGGAGCCTCGCCATGCTCACAGCTGCTCCTCTACCTGTAAGGAGGAAAAGTACTGAGTGAAGGGCAGAAAACAAAAACAGAAATGCTCTGCCCTTGCAGAACTCATGACCTAGGGCTACTCTTGATGTTGACCTCCTTCTTCGTGTCGGGTGAGTCTGAGTTCTCTTTGGGAGAATGACTGGTGAGAGACCTAGACTTAGCTCCTCTGGGGTTTTCTTTGCCTTTCTTATGGGACAATGCAAGCCATTGTAGCCATAGATGTAAGACGTTACCCACAGATTTATTTGATTTTATCATCTTTACTTTCTGTTTTGTCTTGTTTATTTTACTTTATCCTACCACAATATGTACATTTCTATGATATGCCTTACTGCCCCTTCCTTATCCCTCATTCCCCTTTTTCCAAYAAGGCAGGCAAAAATTAAACACATACTAGCAGCAATCAAAGTTGTCTGAGTTCTCTTTATCTTCTTTGCTTCTTTAGGAAAAATAAATAAATATTTATCTTATCCCATTTAAGTCCACATTGTTGATAGCATAGATTAGGAAAGTTTACTGCTTTCTATTGGTTTTTATGACTAGGTACTTTTGAAATATAATATATGCATGCAGTTTTGCTGGAACACCTGTGATGTGTGTCTGTATTTTTCTTGAAGGTGTGTGGGCTGTAGGAAACACTTTCTGAATTAGAGGACACACTCCTCATCTTAGGTTCCTGTAGGAGTTGAAGAGAACATGGGGGCTACTGCGGGGGTGTCCTGTTTCACTACAGAGGGTTGTTAGGAGTTGATGTGATAGGGAGTTTGCAGGTTTCACTTTTAGTAGATGGAACAGTGGCAAAGGAACAATGTAGTTAGTTTTAAATTTTATAAATTTGATAATTGAAAGAGAAAAGGTATTTTTCCCCTCATTGGAATAACTCTAAAGTCATTTTTGTCTATCTTTCAGCAAAAAAAAAAATCACAGGTTTATCTTACTGGTGGGTACACACAAAATGACCATCCTCCACTACTGTACCTTTCTGAGAATTTTCACATATATTTTCTCTTTTGATCTGTACAGTAACCCAGTAAAGTATGCATGGAAGACATCTCTTCATTTTACAAAGATAGAAACTGAGGCTTAGAGAGATGACATGATTTGTTCAAGGTTAGAACAACTAGTATGTGTTCATACTCAGTTATAACATATGTCAGTAAACATCAGGAGACATTTGAAAGAGTGATTTTCTTCAATGTTTAACCCTTGTGCTACTCTCTGTTTCTCACTGCACCACTATTTAAATACCACTGAAAAAGGGAAAGCCAAAAATTTGTTATAAACTCACTATGGACTGTTATTCACTTAAAAAAAAGTGATCTGAATCTTTCCACAGTTGGAATCTTGTTTTAGAAAGCTCTTCTAAAAGGCTGTGCAGTGCCCAAGGTGGTCAGGGGAAGCCAGATAGTTGAGGTACTGTTTATGTTGATTCGAACTATTACTCTTGGTAAAGGGAAAAACATAACAAGATGAAAATATAATAATTTGAAATTTGAATGTTGAATGGTGTAAAATTTAAAATGATTTCTGTGCACAACGAGGAGATATTGCATACATCAAATCTCTGAAGTCTGTTCTTGTATCATTATAAAGTTGTCAAAATGTTTAGGCATCAAGATATTAAAAAATCCAGTTATGTGCAGTGATTTGGTGTGATAAATTCCCCCAAGAAATGATTTAGGAGAGTGAGAAGAAAACCACTTGTGGTGATTGCTTTATGTTTCTTACTGATATTGCTTTGTTGTCAATACTGCCTAATAGAAGCAACTCACTGTGCCCACGACACATTCACCAAGGAGCAAGAGAGCTCCTGGCTTCACGTTAACCATGCTTAACTGTTTACTTTTGTCTACGTATTTGCTTATAACTTTAAGCAATGTGGAGGTTAGTAGACAGAATTTAATAACAAAATACCTGAGGGTGAAACTAAAGGTAATTTTGATTGTCCATTCCAAAGCCAAGTTCCAAACCTTGTACAAAGTCCTCCTCCCTTCCACTCCTCCATATTCTCTGCTGCTCCTATCTTTTGAGTCTTGTCTTCTAGATTTTTTGTATGTGTTCAAATTTTATTTTCCCATTTCAATTAAAAGCAATGTACCTTTTACAAAAGTTATTGATTTCACCAAAAAGAGTTACTGAATAGGAACCCTCATCTTTATTTTGGGGGGATAATTTTTACTCATTTATCATCACCTTCCACTAGAGGGCAAGCAGGCAACAGAGGAAGTAGATAAAAATCAAGACTGAGCTATGGGGTAATTTGAGCAGAATTGCAAAAGATGGAGAAAGAGATTAAAAGCAGTTGTGAAAAAAAAAAGAAAGAAATAAAGAAGAGATTTATCTTTCTTTAATTTTAGCCCTTTCTTTTTTAGTTTGTGATAGTTGTGAATTTACATATTAAAATAATTTATAGGTATATTTTCCTATAATTGTTTAAGCAATTAATAAATATATTGGAAGGCCTTATTAAGAGCATAGAGTGTATTCAAAGCTGAGATGAAGTCTTTGGGAAAGATTTAAAATTAGTACATCTTGACTTTTTTTTTGTCTTGGAGCCCAGGAACAATCTGAAGAAAGTTGAAATGATGGTGGGTTGACTTGCTGAAGTCTTCGTGGAGGAGAAGTATCTGGAATTRGGCCTTGACTGATAGGTTGTAAAAGGTGGAATGATTTTAACTGGAGCAGGAATATATAATTCAAACCCATACCCCAAACCTATAAGATGAAAGGGGTAAAAGGAGGAAGAAGTAGTCTAAGAGATGAGGAGTTGAAGGAAGGGGGACCAGTTACAAGGTTGGGAACTTGACTCAGTGGTGGATGATTTAAATTATTTTCAGTTTTCCCCTCAGGTATTTTCTTATTAAATCTTGTCTACTAACCAGAAAGCAGAGAAGGAAATTGGGAGGGGGGGCCATGTAATGTGAGCAAAGTCAAGGGTTTTCGGGGGAGAAAGAAATTTAGTTTGATGGCACAGATATCGTGTGCTGTATGATAATAGGAAATAAAGCTGGGTTTCAGGGGTCTTTGGTAACTGAGTAGAGAAATCTGAGAATTGTGCATTAGACAAGGAGGGGTCATCTATTATTTTGTGAACAGGAAAATAATGTAATAAGGTAATATTTTGGGAGAATAGTATAGCAGCAGAGTCCCATTGAATGTTGGTAGCACTAAGTAAAAAACTTTATTTTGAAACAGGAGCCAAAAGATTCTACCCCAGTATTCAATGATCCACATTGTTGGCTGAGAAGGGAGTTTGTAGAGGAAGGTATTCAGCTCAGTTTAGGGAGGGAGAACACTAAGGAGGGAAATTCCTGTATGTACTTGGAAATGTAGCAAAATCCAGGGTTTGTGGGCAATTTATGAAGAGGATAATTCCACAAAAAGACTACCCATCAAAATACACATAACAGAATAAGCACTAGAGATTTCTGGATTGGATCCTAAGGAGCCTAATTATCTCATTCCTCTTTATAACAGAGGGCAAGATCTAAGAAGAGATAGGAAGACACACATGATGAGCTATGAATTGTGTAGATAACCTTAAATGGGAGGAAAGATACTTTTGCTGAAATTGAAGAATGAGTTGAGAAGTTGGGTGTGGGAAGACTAAAAAGTTAAGAATAGCAATAAGGAGGCCAGGCATGGTGGCTCATGCCTGAAGTCCCAGGAAGGTAGAGGCAGGAGGATTGAGAATTCAAAGCCAGCCTCAGCAAAAGTGAGGCACTAAACAACTCAGTGAGACCTCTAAATAAAATACAAAATAGGGCTGGGAATGTGGCTCAGTGATAAAGTGCCTCTGAGTTCAATCTCTGGTGGTAGTGGGGAATGGTAATAAGGAGATGTGAGAAAATTAAAGTGTTTATTGTATAAACTGCTTCTCAATAAGATTATGAGTATTTCAATAAATAGTGCTTGTTAATAAAATCAAACAGAGGTATTATGATTTTATAATGTATCAAAATATTCATCTATACAGTGATTAAAATGTAATAGTCATTAATATATTTTTGCCTTTTCTCCCAAATATTATTCAGGCATCAACACCAAGAAAATAATTTCCAACTTTTCCCAAATAGAATTTATAGGCCTTGCATATCTGAAAACCTAGACCCCATTCTGAGAACAAAATCTAATCTGTGTTTAAGGGAAGCACTATTGAAGAGTCCCAGGACTGAAGCAGGACTGGAAGTTTTTCCATTTCTAAAGATATAATTTTCTTCAAAAATCTCTAGCACTTTGAGTTAGTGATGGTGTTGCAGGTTATCTTGGAATCAGACTGATGTAGTTTTCATGTGCAGAATATTTACTGGTAGAGGGAAAAGTCTTCCTGGGATCTCAACCAGCTGTTACCCACTCCTAACCCTATGGGGGGCTTTAGAGATATAATGGCCTTAAAGAGAACCTTCGTTCTCAAATTGGCTGGTCCTTTGTACTTTCAGTCTTCTGGTTATTGGATGAGGACTGTTCTAGGAAAGGTCTGACTTTGGGCAGGAAAACTGAGACAAATTGCTGAAGACGCTGGAGATGGAATGCTGAGTTCTACCAGTGCTCCCAGTAACATCCGTGGAATCTTTGCTTGAAGGAGATCCTGGGGCATGTCCACATCTACCATAGTTGGGGTTTCCAGTAATCTTTAGTCYTTTTTGATTTTCCCAGTTTCTATCTAGTATAGTATTATTTCCCTTTAGGTTGAAAAATTTCTTTTGTCATTTCTAGAAGTGTAAGTTTTCTGGCAAGGAGTTCTTTTAGTTTTCTTTTATATAAAAAAGTATTTGCTTTCATTCTTGAAGCATATTTTGGCTGGATGGAGAATTGGGGCTGAACTTTTTTTTTTCTTTCAGTACCTTAAAAATGTTTTACTATCTTGGATGAGAAGTCAGTTGTCCATATACACCATTGTTTTCCTGAATATAATGTGTTATTTTTTTTCTGGCTGCTTTCAACCTTTCTCTCTCTATTGTATTCAACAATTATAACATGTCCATTTTGTATGGTTATTTTCATCTTTAAGGAATTGCTTAGCCTCCTTAGATAGTAATTTACTGATCTGTGAAATGAAGAAGATGTACAACACTATTAAGAAGTGTAGAGTTTTCAGAAAGGAAGAACT